GTAGCAGAAAACTCGGTTGAATTGAAACACATCCCTTAGCGTCAAAACGGAAGGGACGTTGCAGCTCTTACAGGCTTTTTGCGGATTTTTGGGGCTCTGGACTTTTTCGGTTTTTTTTGTGCTTTTTTCGGCGATTTATGACAGGTCCCTGACAGGTAACAGAGAATTAAATGCATTGAGCTAACTTCGCGAACGAGAAGAAAACTTTGTTTCGCGGAAATATAAGTAGAATATGGCACACTCTAACTAAGAAATAAATGAAAATATACTACAGTGAGGACTAACCTTATTGAGTTGCGTAGCATAAATGTCGCTTTGAAAATAAATAAATTCCAAGTTGCATCTGTCTCGAACGATTCATTCATACAACTTTGTGGCTCACTCCTCCATAAGAAGTAAGAGCCAACGCTGCGCGTTTAGTAAGCAACATGTTCACGGCTAAACATAAAAATGGACATAATCTTCAGTATATATCTAAAGAAACAGCTATGCACTCACGTCTTGCGCAGCCATATGTACTGAAAATGTTCCTGTTCATGAAGTTATCCTTTTTAGAGCCATCTCTGTCAAGGAAGCTTATATGATCTTGTCGATAGTATTCCCATATTGGTTAACGCGACTTTGAACCTTATCAAATAATTCGCTGTTCAACTCAGCGTATGAAGCATTCACCACTTTTGAAGTTGAAAATTGGAGACAGTATACCGATAAAAACTGGAGAAATACCTCTTTTAGTGGATGTGACGGCCGTTCGAAAATAATTTGTCGCAAGCCTCCGAAATGTTTCTGAAACGAAAACTATAAGCGAGGCTGTAAAAGAAACTGATCATAATGCACAGAGAAAGAAGAAAGGGAAGGTGAAAATATGCATCTATAGTTTAAGAGCATGAAACTTTGGTGATGGCCGGGTATAGGAAGGAACGTCGAGAAGAAGATGTGAACGTAGCGTTGATGATGATTCACGTCGCGCCCACTTCCACTGAGTAGGCGAGTAGTTTTGAAGCATGTGTTTCAGTACTTAGTATCGATGGCATGTAGGGTTTGGGTTACACTGTACTTGGGCGATCTACAATTTGAACCCACAAAAATCCGAGTAAGGTCCATTTTGCCGATCCACTGCATTCTCTCCTTACATTTCCCTCATCTCTCCTCGCACGTTCGGCGCTGGCTGATTAGCGTTTTCAAGAGGGTACGAAACGTGTGTGAGGAAAAATGAGAGTCGTGGCCGTATGCTTGACTTTTCCGAAGGAAAAATTTGTAGAGAAGAAAATTTAAGAGCTAGTTAATTTGATGGTTTTACTTCTTTAATATAACACTTCGCAATCAGGACGAATCAGCAGTAGAACGTCGCCTCGTAAAAAGTATTTGGAGCATGCGTGAGGTTTTCTAGAATTTTTGCTTTTACGTCAGAATGTATGGCTTTTCAAAAACATGTAACTCAATATCTTTTGATTGTTGATGTCTTGATTAGAGAATATTTGGATTTGGAACTTAAAATGGAGAAAAACAAAAATAACAGAGTTGAACAGTGGGAAAAACACTGGAGCGAGTTAATCTGTCGATCTGTCGTTTACTGACGGTAGCCTTTGACTGAAGCTACAAACAGGGAAGTACATAGAGTTTATCGTAGAGATGTCATAAATTATAGATATAAATTTTACTGTCATAAAAACGGTAGAAGATAGGTAGCAATAGGTACAATAGAAGCAATAGATGGCATGTGAAAAATTATTGCAAGTCTTTGCGTGAATAAAGCAGCTGTGAGAGGTAATCTTACTATGGCTCCTTTTCTGCAGCAACTACTGAATGAATTCCTTTTTGCTGAATGCAAAATATTTACAGATATGAAAGAACGCAGCAATCTTTTAAAGCCATGGCAGGTGTCTATTTGAAATCGCTTTTATCCGATTCATCATTCCATCCCTTTTCCAAATGATAAGTCAGCATTGCCTCGTTTTGCTTCAAAGCGAATGAAATGGGTGAAGTGGATAGAGTGAACAATTAAAGCGCGAGTTAAGGAAACGTTGTGTCATTCACGAAGGCCCATTTCGATCGTAAAAGCTTGTCACTTTGCTTTAAAAGTGTTACCACATAAGTAAATATTACTCAGCTGAGAACCGTTCTGATCACCACATTTTTCACTCTGAGACATTCGTACATTTCTCTACCTTTTCGCTCATGAAACGTGTAATCAGTGTCCGCCAACATTGGCCGATCGCGAGAAGGCGGAGTCACTGTGACGGATAAATCGTAACGCAGAACTTGTAGCCTATCGTGTAAGTCGAAATAGGCGAGCGCTTCAGCATCAGCTACTGAGGATCCCCTATAGATGAAATCTTCAGCCATCTCACTTTTGAAGCGATCATATAAGTGTTTTGGATTTAATACATTACAGAAAGCCAGCATATAGGTGAACAATGCCCTTAGTTCTGCAGGCATCTGGAAATGAGCGGCTTCTTCTAAGCATTCCTCATAATGAGAATCGTCATGCAGCAGACCCAAAGAACGCGCTGCGTCTAAAAATGTTGGATGAATATGGCCTTCTACTGTGCGGAGATCCTCGAAAGAATGCATATTCTTTCAATGAAGTAATATAATACGCAACGCAAATCTCTCTGGATCAGTGGGAGTGACCATGTACATTCGTCCAATCTGCCGATTACCCCTCTTTCTTCTTTTCCACTTCCTTTCCTTTGCAAACGTAAAATGCTCTGGCAGCTGATGACAGTAGAGTGTTCGAACATCCAATCCAGCCATTTCAACATTTTCCTTTTCCATCTGATCGTACTCATCATTCAGCTTAAACCATGCTGTTAACATAGAATCTCTTGCTGCATCCGCATGGCTGCCTCGCGTTCTTCACCTAACCGAAACGTGACCGTCTGGAAGTCAGGGAGATGTACAGCTAGACGACAAACTGCCGTGGATTTGTATTGACATTCAAACAAAAAGATGTGATGTAGTGCTTCCGGTGAGCACATGTACCGCGCATCGAGATGAGCTCTGATCTCGTCAATTTGCTGCGTGTGATCCTGCTGCAACAGGCGCAAAGAAGCACGATCTGGTCCCTTCTATACGTATTTATATAAGTATTTGACTGCTCGTACATAGCCGCACATCTCTAGGTTTATATGTGCGTTGAGAAGAAGGAAGAGGTAGCTGTTATATGGCACAACATGCCTATTGTCAAAAGTCTTGCCATCAATCGTTATAGCACGGCCGTCGTTAGGCCTTCTGTATTTGGGGTAGCCATCTACTTCAAGGTCCGTCGTTTCTCTGTAGTCTTTAGGGAAACGCTTCGAACATTCTCCATTCATCACGCATGGAGCCGTCGGATTTGTTGCACCACACTGACGATGGATCATGTTCCGAGCGACTATGCTGAGAAGACGTGGGTTCTCGGAGGCATTTGGATGATACGCTTGTACAGCTGCGTCAACTGTTGCGGGGCTTCTTGGTTTCGAATTTGCAGTCATTATCAAAAGCATATGGCAATGAGGAAGGCCTCGTTTTTGCCATTCAATAATCCCAACATAAGCTGCGACGCATCCCAAGATGTTTTTCCTGAAAAGATGCTTTTGCAAAACTTCAAGCTTGCAGTTGAACACGCGACTAACCAAGTCCGGCCGATCGGATGCAGATTGGTCTGGATATAAGTTTTTGCTAATTTCCTTCCATTTGGGATTGCAGGTAAAAGTTAGGAAGTAATCAGGCTTTCCGTATTTTGCAACAATAGCCATAGCGTCTTGATGAGACTGGTGCATAGCACGAGGACTCCCACGATACGAAGATGGTAAGATTATACGTTGTCCAGGAGGTCCATCTGCGTTATCAGTCGCCGAGTGATCTGTCAGTCCTTTATAACTATCGATGCGTAGCTCTTTCTGGTGGGTACGAGCATAATTTAATCCATTTTGTTCGATTTTTACGTACGCGTCAACCACAAACTGCTGCATGAGTTTTCCAGCATGATGTAGTGGGCTGAAAGAACTACGTACAGCAAGCAGATTGGAATAGAATTCGCATTGTGTGAATCGTGTGCGAATTCGACTACTTGGATTCTTTTTGAGATTGATATGCCACCCTTGTCCTCCTCCGGGAAAGAGCAGAGGGTAGGTCAGAGGATCGCAGCAAGCATCGATGTCGCGAATCTTTTGCAAACCAAGTCTTTTATGGTGGATAGCAAGGGAACGGCTTGCTGGAACATCATTGTCCTCTCCTACGTAGACAACGGCAATTTCGTTAGCAGCGAGAACGTTGTAACGACGACGATCTACATTCCGGCCGTCATCAAAAACCATTCGAATTGTTGGTACTTCTCTTCCTTCCGCTAAGGCGCAACGCTCTTCCTCTGCAGCGACATCTCCCATCATCTTGAGTGAAGCCGCGTAAATACTGTTGGAATGCAACCATAACGTTAGTTGCTGCATTATAGTGCTATCACACTCTGCATTCAGCGGATTTCCGCTTCTTTCGGCAGCGACGGCATCGGTGTCCAGTATGTACACCTGTCCAAATTGTGGACGAATACCTTGCTGTGGTTTAATTGGGCCTACAAAGTGGTAGACTTGACCGTGAATTCTGTAACAATACGGTCCAAAACCACGCGGCGTGTCCACATGAGCGCCCATTGAAGTCATGGCAAGCGCGCTATTGAATGAGCGAATGTGATCCGGAAATTTTTACAGAGTCTGCTGGAGCCAGTGTAAAATGACCGGAAGAGCTCCGGAAAGTCAGAAAACAAATCCAAAGAAATATTCCCATAATTACAACAAACATTCCGTTGTCATTTTTAGCTTCGTAGGGAAAGAATAGGGCTCCACAATGAGCGCACGTGATGTTTAGAGGCCCCAGATAGTTCTCTTCTGTGTCACTCATAGTCAGAGCTACACCCAAAACAGAAGGCAATCTTCGCTGGCACTCGGCAGAATTTTGAATAGGACCCATCTGCAATTTAACTTATATCTTGCAAGTGCAGATCTATCATTTTTATTGATCTACCTGAATGACGCTTCCTCCCTCACTACACTCTCGTTCTCGTTTGGATACGGTAGTTGAAGGTGATTCTGCTCAAAAAATACTTATAACCAAAATACCACTTTAAATGTAATACCGTTGCATGTGACAATTCTTGTCTTTCCGACGAAGCCAGTCTTCTTGTTCTCGCCCTCTTTGCTGCACTTGCAAGACGTTCTCCTTTTTCCTTCTCATTCTCAGCTGATCTTTTCAATCTAGACCTTTCTGCCGAAGATGCAAGTCGCAGTTCTTGTTCATGTTTCGTTTCATTGTATCTTCTTAGAGCTGCTCGACTCGCATCAGTTGCAAGACGGGATCGAAGTTCAACATCGCCTTCTCCACGTTTTCGATGGCTTGCACACTCAAAATTGTCACATTGCTGTGTTTCTCTACTATACTCTTCTGTGCAAATCGCCACTTCGTGTGTGCCCAGCTCTTTATCGTCTGATACTACTATTTGTTTTCTGGTTTGCACATCCAAATCGAGCTAAATCATAATAAATTGTCTATAGCTGATTCAAGCAACTAAGTGTAAGCTGACCACTGAATCTTCTTCATTCAAAAAAGCTTCGCTAAGAGATTCGGTGTACTGCGGAAGAGCTAATTGATGATTTTCCTACATCAAAAATTATAGAATTGAACAAATTTTTTGGAACTGTTTCCTTACCGATGTTTCAGAATCATACCCGCGAGAAGTACTCGGACATTGATTGCACGCAAAATCTTCGTTTCGTTTTTGAGGCACACCTTTAACGCGGGAAGCCTCCACAATTCCATTGCCTTTCAAATTGTCACTTGCAGATATGGATGTAGATGCATCTGTGTCACCCACTGGTAGGGAGTTTTGTGGACTTCCACCCTCCGCTGCCCTCTTCCTTTTTGTTTTAGCCCTCTCTGCAACTCGCTGAAGGCGGATTGACTTTTCCTCTTCAGATTCGGTTGATCTTCTCACTCTAGCTCTCATGGCTAGCTTTGAAAGTCGAAGCTTGCGCTCTTCTTCAGTCTCGTTTGCTCTCCTGTTTGCTGAGCGCTTTGCAACCGCTGTTAGAAGTAGTCGGCCTTTATCAACATTGTTATAAGGGGTTCCAGAAGCTGCTCGCTCAGAAAAATCGTAACTTGCTATTTCTGCACCCGTGGTTGATGTACGCGTCTCTAGGTGTTCTGCGTCTGAGTTTTTCCGCTGAATCTACCTGCTAAGTTCGATGCAAGCCAAAAGAATTAGTGTGGTCTTTGCAAATCCACATGAAAGTTTCTCATTGATTTCGAAACATTTACCATTATATTATATTAATAATCTTAATATTAATATTAAGATTTATTTTATTCTCACCCTCACAGGCATGAATAGTTTCTGCTAAGTCTTGTTCGAAATCTGGTGCTGCACTTTCAACTCCACTTGGGAGATGGTGCAAGTTCATCTGAAGCAGTGCGCGATAACATATGCAGTATCGGCAAGAGTGATTAAGAGTAATAGCAAGAGCAAAATGTGTTTTTATGAAACATTCAGTGCGAAATCTGATTAGCTACCGCTTGTCCGAACGCTCATTCTCGTGCTTAACCTCGGATCAGCTGCTGCGTGAATAGTTTGGGACCTACTTCATCTAGATAACGGAAAGGCATTCCGTTGTCTAGAAGTCCATATACGTATATGCAACATGACTCTTATTCTCATCATTGCTTGAATTACGGACTATCTAGATTTACTGATGCTAGACTCAACCAACAGCCTGTTTCACGCGGTTTTGCACAATTCTAGAATTTTTCTTAAGAATATGCTTCGTATATTGAAGTTTGCTAGAATTTTTAGAAAATGATGAGCGGAACGTGTTTCTTCATGTACTAATGCTGGAAGTCAAACAAAATACGGTCCAGACTGTTTTCGCAAATGATTTTTGAAGCTTTGTAAGGGCATATGCGTTTATGGATGTTTACGCATTTGAACGTGCGTATGCAACCGTCAAGCGAACGTTAGCAAAGTCAGGAGTGAAAAGCGCGCCCTCATCTACTAATGCTAAATTCGGTCGAAAAGGTTCGTGATTATTTTGTTTTTGACAATCTAAAGATTTAGGTACACATGCATCCTATACAGATGTTTCAAATTCCAAAAGTTTATGAGTGAAATCACAGACGCTTTTCTCATCTAATAATGCTGGAAGTCAATCATCATACTATTCCTGACTGTTTTCGCAAATGATTTTTGAAGCTTTGTAAGTACATATGCCCTTATGGATGTTTACCATTTGAAAGTGCATACGCAGCCTTCAAGCGAACGTTAGCAAAGTCAAGAATAAAGAACTTGTGTCTCCACATCATCTTCAAAATTGCAGACATAGCTCTTCCACTTTTATTTATCACATTAATGCTGGGTAACGATAATGACAATTCTGACCACCCAAGCTTTTTGAAGGTTGCACACTCTCATCATGGCTGGAATTTTCTGACATTTGCGTGGCTGAACAGTGCCGATTTCTCAGCGGGCTAAAACATATGCGTAAGGTAATATAGAAATGCGTCGTGAAGCGGTAGTAGGGAGTTGATCAAGCTAAGATTGGAACGGATATAGAAGAACTGGGAAATGGAGATTGTTTGAAACGCGCATCGTAAAAAATAGAATAGATGAAACTATCGAAATGAAACTATCGAATTCGGCTTTTAGCGAAGCCATTCGAAGTTTACCGGTTTATATTCAAACCATAAATTCACATCTTTTCGGAAAGTTGAGTGAGCAGAAAGGTGAAATGAGCGAGGTAGGTGGATGAGGGGAGATGAATAGACAAACTTAAAGATTTTGAGAATGCCACGCTGATGAGTGAGTTGAAATCAAACGCAGGCATGTCTATGATGCATGGAAAGTACTGGAAACAGACCAAAACCGATGTGCCAGACGTAACGTCATATTCTTGATGACATTAGAGCTGTACTTTGCTAGGTGTGCCGCATATAAGGATAAACAACGGGTGAGCAACACATTAGCACCCGAAATGCACCCACTTCACTACCGCTTTGAAGCGGTCATACAAACTTGTTGACATCTACGACTTCTTCGCGCTTTATATAGGGTATGATACTAAGGGGTCGCGTGATCGCGTGATCGCATAGAAGAATGCGAAACATTCAAAATAAGATATGAGAGTCGTCACCCTGATTCAAAATAAGATATGAGAGTCATCATTCTGAAACCAGAACACAAAGTTAATGATTGTGATTGTGACATCCGCATCAAAGCGTCAATTCGTAGCGCATAGCTCAAACTTGAAAAATATACGCTGCGTGACGGGACCCTTAGTGCGAGCAAACCTCTCGCCGACATAATGGCATCTGGCCTCTCCTCTGGTCATCGTTGAAGGGCGTTATATTTTCACATTCCTTTTTCTGGATTCGATCGCAAGCTGGACACTCCTCGTTCGTGCGGTTAAGGATAGGAGGGACGCAGAAAGCTCTGCCGTCGCGCTTGAAATGATCAAGTGTACATTATAGTAAGGATATATATATATAGGGTGCGGAAAAAGTACTGTCCCTCCAACTTGTCCCCTGAAATACCTTAAACACAAAGCAAATCTGTAGTTTTCTGATTCCCATACGTAGGGAGATCCTTGAAATTAGATAAAGATAAGTTTGATTTGAAACTGTTTGCTTCTGTCCATTTGAACAAGTGATAAAAGCGCGCAAGAACATTACCATGCGCCGATAGCATACAAGTGCAATTTTGGACCGTAACTATACCACCAGCATTAATAAGGTTCAAATCAAGCTGGTGTGTAGCGCATGATTTCTTCTCCAATATTCTATACCCACTGTAGATGAACTATGGATTGGTGATTCTTGTTTTGGTCAAATAAGGAAGATTGTATCACACGCAATCCGCGAAATTATTCGAAAAGAGGCGAGTCAGGACTGCGCTTGCGTAACGAATTGGATCCATATTATGACTCAAGGTCCCAGATTATACCAAAAAGTGACAGGAATAAAAGAGCATCGGACTTTATCTACAGCACGATTTTGGGGCGATAAACGATTATACCTAGTCTCTGTGCCACGTTTTCTGAACGGACTCTGCTGCGCCGCAGCCACTTCCACGATAGAAAAATTCACAACTAAATTCAAATTAAAATTCACAACTTTCTTCTAGTGCAGCTGCTGACTGGCTACTTTCACAATATTTCGGTGCCCACTACCACATTCCTTAACCAGTGGAGGATTTCTCAATTCCGCGTGACAAACAAAAAATTTCACAGAAATCTTCACACTTCTGCGCATCTGTAATGGGGAGTTGCAAGATTTGATATAAAATGGGCTGCGAAAAGGAATTTGCCGCCGGGTCCCTTCGTAAAATTTTGAGGCCAGTTTTTGTAAAATGCTAGAATATATCCACCTCTTGGGAATTATGTCAAATTTACCAGAAAAACCTGTGAATCACGCCGATTTTTTGAACTATATTTTGAGGGAGAGTATTTTTTCCACACCCTGTATATATACAGGGTGTCCCAAAATAATGTGCACACTCTTTGATTTTGAATAACTCTCTTATTAAGAGGTCTTTCGAGAAGCGGTAAGCGCCATTTTGTAGAGCTGGCTTCAACTTAGATTTGCATTATAGAGCGAATCACCGACCGCTCTTCATTACTGTAGGATTACGGTGGAAACTTGGAACATATGGTTTCACTGTGGAAAAAAATTGTGGAAACTTGTGTAATAAGGTTATGATGGACGCTGAGCTTAATAATCTACTATTCACAAGATTACGAAGCTTTCTAATTGGTGTAACCGCACTTTTTAGAAACATTGAGAAAATGGTCGCTACCTCTTACCTGGCATAACTCTTCAATAAAGCATCATAATAGGTTGGGAACTTTACACTTATAATCAGCAACTCTAATTAGCCTAGTGTAAAAGCTTTCAGACTGTTTTGATTCTTTTCTGAGGCAAAATATGGCCTTTCGTAGCCCAAAACCCTCTTTCAAGTTTCTACCGTAATCCTACAGTAATGAAGAGCGGTCGGTGATTCGCTCTATAATGCAAATCTGAGTTGAAGACAGCTCTACAAAATGGCGCTTACCGATTCTCGAAAAACCTCATAATAGGAGAGTTATTTAAAACCAAACAGTGTGCACATTATTTTGGAACACCCTGTATATATTAGGTGGGTCCGAAAGTTCTGTCGTTTCTTCAAAATTTTGTAGCTTCGCGAGATCTCAACGGATTTGCTTGCTTGTAATTTTATTAGAGAGAATAATTCTTGCGCTTTCAACTGCTGTTTTGGGTAGCTTCAGTTTCACATTGAGTGCAGAGATAAAAATGGAAAACTAAGACCATGTAAACTCTGACCATTTTAAGTTAGTTCACCAAAAATCTAGAATGCTGCAGAAAAATCTGAAATCGTCAGTACATATGTTTTTTGGCCTACTCTTTGCAAATGTGAAGAATTTGTGGTGTTTGGACGTCTCTGTGAGAAGTTATGATTTTCGAGTTTACTGCGGAAAACGCCAAATTACGCCAAATTAATTAATTTGTCAATTTTCGCGAAAATCATAACTTCTCACAGAGACGTCCAAACACCACAAACTCTTCAAAATTGTAAAGAGTAGGCCAAAAAACATATGTACTGACGATTTCAGATTTTTCTGCAGTATTCCAGATTTTTGGTGACCTAACTGAAAATAGTCAAAGTTTACATGTTCTTAGTTTTCCATTTTTATCTCTGCATTCAGTGTGAAACAGAAGCTCCACAAAACAGCAGTTGAAAGCGGAAGACTTATTCTTTCTAATAAATTTACAAGCAAGCAAATCCGTTATGATCTCGAGAAGTTACAAATTTTTGAAAATGAAACGACAGAACTTTCGTACCCACCTAATATATATATATGTGTATATATTAGGTCATCCCTAAAGTATTTTCGCTTTTTTCAAACGGTTGCCACATTCGATGGAACAAACTTTTCCAAGAGATCTTGGTAGCGTTCGATGCAGAATTTCATTCTCTTTCTGAAGGTTGTAAAACGTTGCAAAACAGTCAATCAGCTTTCAGAAAATGACCAAAATCTGCGACCCATGCTTTTTGAGATGGTCAAGTTTCACGATTTTTTAAAATTTTCATATCAATCCTCAGGAGGAGTTCAAGTAAACATTCGATAGAGTAAATTTTATAGAATACAGTGCAACTTTTTTCTCTTTTCCATAGGTTGTCATACATTTTTAATAGAATTTTAACTGATGCTACCGATTTCCATACTTGGACAGCTAAATCCTTGTAGAACATCGAAGGAAGAACAGCTGTTTGATGCAGCATTTTCTCCTCTTTCTAATGGGTGTTTTGTTCCCGATTCGTTTAGTTTTCGGGGATAAAATGATCCCAATTCATTTTTAAAGGAGCCCCAGGCTGCACCCGGTATTTGATATTTCGAATCCGTAAACTCTCATT